AGTGTGTCTGAAAATTTTAATTTTTTTATATTTTCTATTGTTCAAAACATATATATATATATATATATATATATATATATATATATATATATATATATATATATATATATATAAAAAAAAGAAGAGAAGAGAGGTACCGCAAACGTTTTTTTGGTTGTAATGTGGATTTATTTAGAAAAATATTATGCTTTGTTTTACATAATTTCACGACGCGTGTTTCTGGTCTCGCGACCGTCTTCAGGTAAAAAGTGGAGATTTCCACATATTATTAAAAATAATAATTAATTTTTCCTCATGTTCAATGTTAAATATTCTCGATATGAGACATTTTCTGTTTGTGTGTTGGTAATCTGAATTTCCTCTTGAATTACAAGATATATATATATATATATATATATATATATATATATATATATATATATATATATATATATATATATTATTTGCTCTGGATTTACATTGAGCTCTCTGGATTTTATCCTCCTTAGGTTTACCCATACGTATTACCTAGATTTTATATAAACAAAATATATATAAAATTATATATTAGTCAGCATCCGCTCGCATCTAAGTATTGGTATAATAATCCTCTCTCCTTATTCCCTTTCTCCCTTCTGATGGCGGCGACGGAGATGGCTGTGAAGGCCCAGCTTATTTCTGAAGAGTCATGAGCAGGATTAACCGAGGAGGGTGGGAGGTTGATGCGGCTGGGCGAGTTGTTCACTTCCGACAGCACGTCGCTGATCACGTTGACGGTTGAACAGAAAAGCGTCGGTCCTCTACGAGAGGCCGATTTGCGGCAACTGTTTCCTAGGTCTCTGAGCCGATTCTGACCTAGGTTAAGGACATTTTTCAACTGATCCAAGAATCGTAATTTTGTGCTTGGCGTGTCCTCCAGACAGGATGATAGTTTGGAATAGAATGGACACACACACACACACACACACACACACACACATACACACACACACACACACACATATATATATATATATATATATATATATATATATATATATAAATTGTGATACTCGCTTAGGTATTAGGTATTTCGGCTTGCAGTTGAACAAACCAATATCCAAGGAAAAATAAGGGATAAAAAAAGAAAGAACTAGGAACATGAAATTGAGGCGAAAACAATCGTCCAGAATTCAAGCTCAGAGTCCAAAGAAAAAACCTCCAAAATGAGTAAAAGTAACTAAGTGCTCAATACACGGAGTAGAGCAAATCTAATATAAACCTAAAGAGCCAGGTAAATCTACCTTAGTTTCGTCAGGGTAAAACTGTCTCCTCACGATCCGTTTAGGTGAAACCTTGGTAGGTTTACCTGTCTCTTTAGGTATATATATATATATATATATATATATATATATATATATATATATATTAGGTGCTGATATAGGATTGTGATGAATATACTGATGTTGATGAACATGAATAAGTTTATATCAATATATAGGCATGAATCGAAGGATATCAATGCGAACAAACAGGCTGATATCAATAAATAGAAAGAATGAAAAAAGGGAATAGACAGTATAACTGATTAGTTTGTTTTTTTCTATTTCACACCCATATATACGTAAAGTGAGAGTTTTATCTGTTGATTTTTCAATACTACTATTCAATAAAGGCCCAAGAGCCACTCGAGGTAGTCAGTTATTGTGAGGTATTGAATCTGTGTAAGCATTAGCAGGAAGTGCAGTTCATGGGGTTTAGAAAAAAAAGATAACGGTTAACCCGACATGAAGAGGTGAAGATTATTGTAATTGGCAAAACATCTCGCCAGGTGTCAAATCAACAAAGCAGCAGTTCTTCTCAAGAATTGCTGCTTTGTAGATCAAGAGCTGGACCTTATTTCTTACTACTAGTATGCCAAAGGAAAAGGTAACTGTTAACCCTAGACTTGAAGAATTGAAGATTGTAATAAGTGGAAAACATCTATCCGGGTGTCTGATCAACAAAGCAATTTCTTGGGAAGAAGGTATCTGAGTAGTATGACTTACTGATTCATTCTCATTCTACGGCCTGTCAAACTTTTGTATGTTATTTAAAGACAGAAAATTATTTTTAGATTCTAAGATTATTTTCTTTGTTTTTGTAGATAATACTGATTCTTTAATGATGCAAGTCTTACTAATTAACCCACAGCTTCAACAAATCTACAGCATAAAACACATATATCACTGCCTCTATGTTATACCTAGCGTACCTATTCTATTATTAATAGACTTTCCCACACATAATAAGTAGTAGTAGTAGTAGCGGTCGCCAGTTGGGCTCAGTGGTGTTGAGTGAGTCAGTCGATGTCGGACATTGAAGTATCAACCATCACAACTAGATTGCTGCGTCATTAAATCTTATTGCAAGTTCCTAACGTTTTGTACGTCGAACCTAATTTAGGACGACTTAGTGAAATACAAGCCTCCACTCTGAAAACTACTTTACAACACTCTAGTAATTGTTTCCATACAAACATGTATAAGCACAAAAGCTGAGTGTCGTCTACCATGTATGCAGTTGTGAAAGCAGAATAACATATATCATTTTTGTTACATCAAATCTCCCAAGAAAATTAACAGATGAGGAACAGAGGAATTCATACCTTTCCCAAGGGTACATTCGCGTAAGTGAATATACAGTACCCGACTGGAATGATAGCTTGGCTCTCGAATAAGAATTCCGAGTCTTTATCCATTACACCACCTGCACATCACTACTTAGAGAACCTGTGATTTCAAAGCGGTCAACCTTCTAGGTACTGACCATGGTCGACGTTGCTTAACTTTGGTGATCGTAATTATTTTGGAGATAATAATAGTTTAGTGATATGGATGCTACTAATAAACCCATAGTCGGATTCATATCTGTAACAGGGAGAATATAACGAAACCAACGGGAATTGGAAATCGGTTTAACAATTCCAAGGCATTATCTATTATAGCACTCGCACATCCAAGCTGACAGCACCCAGTATTCCCCGGCGGTCACCTAAGTAGGCACTGATGTGGTCGTAAACCCTGTCCGGTTGGAACTTCATACTGATGGAATACGAAAGAAATCATGATGATTCATACCTTAGGTAAATGGGATGACAGGTCCCAGCTGCAACGGTCAGGACTGGTAGGACCAAAAAATGTAGCTAATCAGAACAGATTCCATAGTATTACCGATAAAAAAAAAATGATTACTGTTCTTTTTTCTTTGTTTCTACGGACATTTTGACATCTCTTAACACTTCAAAAAAGTTGGTTCACTGTGACGTACTAGACAATTTTTATTTCCAGAATCTATCTTGTATATCTGTCATCTACCATTCGTCCATGCTCAGAATATTGCTGCTATATATGGGCCGGTGCACCTGTTATTTACCTGGAGCTCCTTGATAAGATCCAAAGAAGAATCAGCAATATTATTAGAACTGATCTGGCAATTCGGATTCAGTCACTTTCCCACTGTCTTCAGGTTGCCTCTCTTTGCCGTTTTTATAAATTCCTGACCATTAGCAATCTCGTTCTATTTGATTTACTGCGCAATTCTATATATATATAATAGCATGATTTTATCAGTAATAATTGACATGAAGTGGAAAGACTATACTGAATCCATTGCTATGTCAGCTGCAAAGAAAGCTGCTCCACTGTGTCGTCTGAGACAATTTTTCTCCCCAGTGTCTATCTTACATATCTATAAGTCTACCATTCGTCCATTCTTAGAATATTGCTGCTACATATGGTCTGCTTTATACAGGGTGAGATGGATAAATTTTCGTCTAAATGTTACAAAAAATGAAAATAATACTGACATCTCATTTTAAGAGATATATTTAACAAGATTACACAAAAATATCTTTAAAACACTTAAAAGAATAAATATATTCAATAAAATCGGTAATGACTTCAACCACGGCCTCCAGACGACTTTGGAAATCTCCTGCATCTCTTCCAGAGGATCTCCTCGCGATGAGTGGACTGTGAAGAAGTAGTTTTAGGGTGGGAAATAATTCACTAGACACAAGACCAGGTAGACACTTTTGTCTTCTGTCTATTTTATCTTGGTTTCTTTCTTATTACCACTTTTATGATTTTATTGCTCAGGGCAGGTTAGGTGTTGTCCAGACCGAGTGTGAGAGGAATGTATTATTAAAATGTCTTGTTTAAAACTCGTTAATATCTTGTCTATAATTGGGTGCGCGCACTTGTATGTACTTTCAATTTCTTAACCATATGTATGTCACTCACGTTAGTCCTGGATATGAACATAAAGTACACCTGGACACTATTGTAAGTTGGTGGTGGGGGTAATAGACTATCCTAGTAGTCCATCACTAGCAGTGGTTTACCTACTTCACGGCGTTGGCGAGTATTATATTTTGTTGATGTTATAAAGATTACCATTTCATTTCCAACCTCCGTTTTGGTTATTCCTCATTCAGGAAACCTTTCTAGCTTACAACAGCTACAAATGTTAGGAAATTGTGGAGAGCCATGATTGTCAATAATGTGAATGTACACGACACACAAAAGAAGATAACGCGTTTTACACTGATATGAAGTTGAGGCACTCTATCGAATCAAATGCTACATCTGCTGCAAGGAGAATCTGTTCACTGTGACGTGCCAGAAGATTTTTCTCATCTGCATCGGCAACTCGGTTTCAATGTTTCGCTATTGAACTAGACAGATGCAACCGCCACTTCTAAAAGTTTCTTTTCTCGCACTTCTCGCCAATGATCTCTCTTATTATTTCTTGATTCACTGCCACATAAAATCTTCAAAAATTTAAATGCAACGTCAATCGATATTTTGTTTTTCTTTTTGTGGAGATAATAATGCAAGTCTTACTAATTTACTCATAGCCTGAGAAGGAAGAGATGGCCCCATAGCTTTCCCAAGGGTATATGCGTGTAAGTGAAAATAATGAACCCGACTAGAATTGGAACTTGGCTTTCCGAATAACAATTCCAAGCCGTTATCTATTACACCAATCCACATCCAAGCTCACAGCACCTGGTATTCCAAAGCGGTTACCCAACCAGGTACTGACAAAGCTCGACGTTGCTTAACTTGTGTGATCGTACGGGAACCGGTATTTCAACATCATATGGCCGTAATGTTGTTCACGATGACGGTCGTCTTTGAGTATAGAATCCAGAGGTTAGCAGTGAATATTTCGAAGACAGTAGGAAAGCGTTGTTCAGGTTAGCAGTGGATATTTTGGTAAAAGTAGCAGAGCGTAGTTCGACCTTCTGTTTCTCTTCGCCTGACAAGCTGGACTGGCCATTCGGGTAGAGTAGACAAAATGGCCGCCTTTATACACGACGGATTGAATATTCTACGTCTTCTATTGGTGGACTATAAATTGAGTGAAGTCATTTGGGCTAGCTCACTAGTAAACATAATACCCAAAAAACTGCAACACGTAAGCCTTCATATGTATATATATATATATATATATATATATATATATATATATGAATAAAAATGACAATAGGAAAACTGGTAATTGCTGACGCGTTTCGTCCAATGTGGACTATCAAAGCAAAAAATATTTTGCTTTGATAAAGTCCCCATTGGACGAAAACGCGTCAGCAATTACCAGTTTTCCTATTGTCATTTTTATTCATAAATATTGTCTTCTCTACCGATTAAATCGAAGAAATTTCCATATATATATATATATATATATATATATATATATATATATATATATATATATGTATATGTGTGTGTGTGTCTTTTAATCATTTTATTTAATTCCAAGCAAGGAGATAATGCCACTAAGATGCAAGTGGTTACTAGCAATTAAAGATAATGAGAATACGTTACTGAAGAGAAAGGGCAATAAAAGAATAGGTTTTAGTAAGAGGTAATATGGGGATTGATATTCAGTTTAAACTTTTGAAGAATGTAGTTGGCTGGGAAGCAGGAAATCTGAAGAGAGTTCCACACGCGAGAAATTCGACAAAATAAACCATTAGAATTAAAGTTATGGTTATGTCCAGCTATTTCGACAGTAAAACCACGAGACCTACTCGCCAATCTAGTAGTAAGCTTAAATTCATGCCGTCAAGATATCAAGGTGGGGGAGTGTCTGTGCAGCTGTCACGCCTCAGTGTAATATTGTTGAAGTTAATTTTTGTTGAGATTTGCAAACACTAATTTTCGTTCAATTTCGCTTTAAACCAATCAATGAAATTTGAATAAGCTGATTTGTTTGGGAAAATACTTTGACAAAAAACCTACATCGCGTTTTAATAATTTCTTTAAGTTAATTTTATTTTATGCGACGATAATTTTATAACAAAAATATTTATTTAAAAAAATATTTTTTTTCCTTTTCAAATGCGAAGAATAAATTCTTAGGATTTCTTATTCTTGAGCATGCAACATACAACTGGCCAATCGTACTGCAGCCAAATTCCAGCTTTTGGAAGCGTTTGGCCTTGTGATTTGTTTATAGTTCTCGCAAACGTAGATCGAACTGGAAACATAAAGAAAAGATATGCAAAGAAAAATACTATATTTTTATTAAATAAATATTTGTTATTTTTAAGATTCCATTGATTTTTAAAATAGTGTGAGAATTTGTATGTTAAATAATAAACCTTTTAATTTTCCAAAAAATTAATGAAAAATGATTGTATTACACTACGCACCCTAGTATTTTGTACCCCCTTGCCCTTCTCCCAAAAATTTGGTTTCGGTCGGCCAGATGTCACAGAATTTTATATATAGATTAATTTTGCATGCTAAAGGCTGATTGCAAAATAATGACGAATAATGTCGTTTTTTTGACGTATTTTTTAACGTCAAAAAACGACATTATTACGTCATTATTTTTGCACCAGCCTAATACAATGGCAGAGAGAGTAAATTGTTCTAACACACAAATTTTACATTTGGAAGGCACCCGATTACCACGAAAATCAGGATCCGAAATCCGAGAATTTACTTGGATTCGAACACCGATCTTGGTTGCTATTTGGCGAATAAGATACACTTTTAGCCACGAGGCGGGCCATGTCTGCAAGTGTCTGGATGTGAAGTCGGTGTGCCATTTCGTCGCCGCGCTGAAAGACATGGCTTCTCCGACGTCGCTGTTCCTGCTGCTAGACTCATTCTGGGGTAGGCAAACAAACAGCCTTTGTATATAAGAGACGGGTAAATCACAGTGTCAGAAAATAAAATAAATAAATAAAAACAAAGAAATCCCGGTGGCGGGCGTGAGGCTGTTGGGCGGGGACTGATTATCAAAGCGATTCGTAACAGATGTATTCTTCTCCGAGAAATTTACTTTCTCTCTCTGTCCTTAAGATAACTTCTCTCTCTCTCTCTCTCTCTCTCACTCACTCACTCACTCCCTACACACAGAAACACGCACACCCTCCATATATATATATATATATATATATATATATGTGTGTGTGTGTGTGTGTGTGTGTGTGTGTGTGTGTGTGTGTGTGTGTGAGGCTGAAAAGTTATCCACTCACTCAAGAAACTCTTCCCACCCAAAAATCTGATGTATGGTCATTTTGTCAGACATTGGGAAGTGGGTCGGGCCGGGAATATTTTAGCACACATTCGCGTCTTTGGGGAGATGCCTGGGGTGTATGTACGTGCTAAATAAAAGGTTAATGTATTTTTGTATTAATATTTGATTTAGTCTACAAAAATTAGTACGCTAAACCCGCCCTATTAATATTAACGCCACTGGGAGACATCTGTATATCTGTACAATGCACTAAATAAAAAAAAAACAACACGTACAGACGCCAGCACAAAAGTGCATATATGCACAGAGCTTAACAAAGACCTTCGACTCGTTTCCGAGTTTTGCTAGACAATCCCCGTTGCAGACGCATGCTCAGCAACATTTGTGTTTGCTCTACACTCACAGACTCCACCTGTGGTTTCTACTGCACGTATCTTGAGCCGACATTAGTTACATTTTTAGGGTGAATCTGTATAATTTGGCGCGATCAACATTTACTTTTTTTAAACAAGACCAGCACACTCAAACCCTCTGTCACGATGACTTGTGACTTCGTGCTAGTACCACCATCGACGATTTCAGAACAGTTCCATCTATCCAATTTGACTCGAAAGGCTTGGGCTAGCCCGTGGTATGCTTTTCAGGCAATTTTCAACAGCGTCTTGCGCTGAAGTCACATCCCAACACCGATAACACCAGGAAATTACAACCCTGATAAATCCACCATGTCGAGATTCGAACCACGGTCTCGTGGTCAGAACGTTATAAACACTCACACACACACACACACACACACACACACACACACACACACACACACACACACACACACACACACATCTTGTTACCACAATGTGGGATATTTAATTAAAAGGATGATGTAAATAAAAAGAAAAAGAATTTAAATGAAATTGGCTAGATTGTAAATTTTATATACATAAATAGATATAATATATATATATATATATATATATATATATATATATAGAGAGAGAGAGAGAGATGTTATATATATATATATATATATATATGTGTGTGTGTGTGTGTGTGTGTGTTTGTCACACATATATATATAAAGTATACTTGAGAGAGATATAAATTAATCCCTACCTATACTCTACCATGTCTATTTAACTACCCTTTTACATTCTCTGTTAAATTATAAAAAACTGACACTACCCATCAATTTTAATTTCATTTTTTCGTTTCATTTCATTTTTTTGGAAGTGCTATCTGATGATCCGGCGTCCTTTAAAAAGGACTCTGGTGAAATAAATTATATATATATATATATATATATATATATATATATATATATATATATATATATATATGTGGCTAGATAGCTATACATTTTAGAAAATGAAGTTTTCTAGCATTTCCATCGTCTCTGTTTCGTGAGTATATTTTGTCACATCACATAACTATAAACTTAATCCGATCAAGTCCTAAGGGACGAAAACGCGTCGCACGGTAACTTTTTCCACTTTGTCATATATCTTTCCTCCAAAACTGTTCTTTATGTATAAAAAAGTATATATCGTTATCCACCAACACACACACGCACAAACACACATATATATACTAGCATTATAACCTGTCTTCGACAGGGTGTTTCATTACGGGGAATTTTTGCCACTCTGTTAGAGCAGTTTCAGTTTAAATCAGGCCACCCGAAAATCAATATTAGTAACAAGAATTGAGTGCATCTAAGGAACATCCCCAAATGGGGGGGGGGTTAACAATTTGAATGGGTGGGGTGGTCCTGAAAAGAGCCGTGTGTGTGTGTGTGTGTGTGTGTATTATAATTCTAATAATATTTGCGTTAGATTCCAACTCTCTAAATTGAGTATGCACTGTTTTTTACAGACATTAAATTTTGCCTTTTTCTTGCGCAAAGTGTAAAAAATCAGTTTATTTTTTATTTTCCCCTTCAAGGTTGTAATTTTTTCCAGCCAATTTGGACTCAAAACCAGCACTGAAGAATTATTTATCAAAATTAATTGAAATCGGATGAAAACTGTGGAAACGCATAAACAACATCAGATCACACACACACACACACACACACACACACATACATACACATTTTGAGAATTATATATATATATATATATATATATATATATATATATATCATACCAATCCAAAGAGAGATCAATGTAAGTAACAGGTCAATAATAATAATAATAATAAGTACAGACGATCCTTAAAAAACCATTCGGTTATAATTTATTTCATGTATATACAAATATTCATCTCTTAATAAATGGAGTCAGTTCATCCAGACAAAAGGAAGAGGGAGAGAAAGTAAAAAGAAAAAAAGGAAAGGGAAAAAAATATTTAAAAGAGGAAGAAAGAAAAGAGAAAATTTCAACAGAAGGTTTAAATTTTTTTTTTGGGGGGGGAGAGAAAGAGATAAAGGCGGGGAGAGAGATGAGGCGAAAGAAGGAGAGATTGACAGAGGGAGGGAAAGAAAGAAAGGAAAGTAATAAGAATTAAAGATGAGTCGATATCCTGACCTAGAAATGATTTTTTTTTCTTTACGGGCTGCAAAAGTTAAAATACACGTATCAGACTTAAAAGAGATAATGTGTCTAATGTTCATGTCATTTCTG